AAGAATGGGATAACTTAAGAGATGTTCCTGGATAAAGCTGCTTGCCACATCAAGTCTAACGATCTAAGTTTAATGGTTGGAACCCATATAATTGAATGAGAGGAGAGAACAGACTTTCATGAATTGATCTTTGATTTCCATAGGCACACTGTTGCTTGGGCAGACACACAGACACACAGTCTCTCTCTCTCTCTCTCTCTCTCTCTCTCTCTCTCTCTCTCTCTCTCTCTCTCTCTCTCTCCCCTGGGTTTGTTAGAAATTGCTCTTTTAAAGGGTCAAGCAGTTTCTGATATACCCAAGGTGCTGTGGGAACAAGCACTTGATATACAAACTAACCAACCCCCATAAGCACTAGATCTCTACTCAGGGGCACCCCAGCATTCCTTCGTCTTCATTGCCCAGGGCCAGGTGCCAGGCATCCAGAGACCACCCTAGCAGCCTAAAGCTGATGAAATTACTTGAACTGTTCATCCTGTCCAACTTGGATTTCCTGCAAAAATCCAGTCCAATCCAATCCAATCATGGCCTAAATATTCCCTTATTCCTCTCTTCTACCTCCTGAACAGTCTGAGGTGTGTGTGTGTGTGTGTGTGTTTGTATGTGTGTGTGTTGTTTTTAAATATTTTTCCTTTAATGGCCTTGAGTGTTGCATCCTGCTTCTTGAACTCTCCAGAGACTGTGAGTAAAGTAAGCAAGGCTTCCCTGGGCTTCTCTAGGTTATTCTTGTAGCAGTTTCTGAATGAACCACTCATAAAAACACAAAGTATGGCTCAGGATCGTTGCTGAACTATAGTCATCCCAGCTATATGTATACTTGAAGAGGAGGGAAGGAAGGAGCAAGTACACAAAATGACAAGGGATATGTGCCTAATCCAAGGATACTCTTAACACAGTCTGCTGTTTTTAAAACTTCAGCTCATATCAGCAAGAGCCCAGTAGAACAGGGCATGATGGTCTATGCCTACAATCCTGGCACAGGAGCGGCTGAAGCAGCAAGATCCCAAGTTTGAGGCCAGCCTGGGCTATACATCCATTCCATGCCTACCATGAGGACAACCAAAGCTATCGAGGAAGTCAGCTGTTTCTAAATTGAAGGAGAACTGCAGAATGAACTTTGAAAGTAACCCAGATTCTAGTTAATACCAGAGGAGAAAAGGTAAGAGACGAAGGCAGTTTCTGTCCCATGCTGTTCGTTTTTGCTTTCTTTTTTTTTTCTTTTTCTTACGCATAGCTCTTTACATGTGCAGGATTGTATCTGCTATAGGAAATAGGAACTGCAGCACCGGTTCTCAACCTTCCTAATGCTGCAACCCTTTAATACAGTTCCTCATGTTGTGCTGACCCCTCCCTCCCAACCATAAATTACCTTTGTTGCTACCTCATAATTGTAATTTTGCTACCTTTATGAATCATAATGAATATTCATGTTTCCTAGTGGTCTTAGGCAACCCCTGTGGAAGGGTCATTCAACCCCCAAAGGGGTCGTGGACCCACAGGTTAAGAGCCAGTGAACAGCCAGGCAGTGGTGGCACTTGGGAGGCAGAGGCGGGTGGATTTCTGAGTTCGAGGCCAGCCTGGTCTACAGAGTGAGTTCGAGGACAGCCAGGGCTATACAGAGAAACCCTGTCTCAAAAAAACAAAACAAAACAAAACAAAAGAAAACAAAACAAAACAAAAAAGAGCCAGTGAACTGAGTTTTCCCCATTATTCTTTTGATTTTGGTTGTGGTGTTTTATCATGTAGATTATCAAATACTCTGTAGTTGAATTAACTACTTTTTCACCTTTATAAGCATTCCTCCTTGAAAGCTTCAACTCCAAGGTCAGCAACCTCTTAGAACCATTTTTTTTTTTTAAAATCTAAAGTGAAAGCAATAGCAGCACTATGAGGCTCGCTGACTGGAGTTAGGATAATTCCCTTATCTCTGGAGACTAAATATTACTTAATACTACTTAGTCTAATCCTGTACAAATGTACAGAATGGGGACTCAAAGATTAATGTTAGCTGCTGTCCCCTCCACATCATTACCAGAAGCCCTGATCCTTGTGTGAGACAAGAACCCACCCTGCGCAAGATCTGTATGGTGTTCTGAAATGGAAATCTAAACAGCTAAGTCGGAATCTTCTGACGGTCGATATGTGAACCATGTAGGTGTCAGGAGTGCCAACTTCCTCATAGAGTCAAAACCCTATATAGAACTTTCCGAAGACCAATAGCTTACAGTCAACTGGGAGCCTCACTGCAGATATCAACAGTCAACTAGCACATATGTTGCATGTTACATACTGTGAAAAATACATGAGACCACTGTGGGCCATCACTGTTGACTACTGCTCACTACTTTCTGGCAAGAGGAAGGCTCACGTGTTGATCATGTGCTCACATGGTGACTAAGCAGGCGTTTCAACTCCTGGGCACACTGCGACACTGGCGGCCACTGGATCAATGCAACATCCACTGTGGACACTTTTATGCAGTTATAGTTAATTCTGCATCTTATGTCTGTCTATAAACATGTCTCCTGTGGGTTTTTTTTTCTTTGTGTTTCTTCATTTCAGCTGCAAATAGTACCTTGGACTGTCTGTGTTTGTGTAAGTTTGATAAAATTTTAACTTTTAAAATAACAGATCTGTGTGTATTTTATGATAATAAATGATAGTAATGATACTGTTATCACCATATATGGTATGCTTTTTGGTTTTGCTTGTCATTGCTAGGTTTTATGGTCTGTCTTTTATGTCCCTCCCCGCAAAACTGTTACAAATCTCTAAATCTTGTATCTACAGGGACCTGCCCAGTTCAGAACTTCGTCGTTCAAGGGTTAACTGTAATAGAAATCACAGCATATATTAAAACTGTTACTGTTTACTTTGGCTGGTCACTACTCAGTCAAATAGCTCCTTCCTGTGTCTGCTGATAAGGGCCTGTGGGACCGGCAGAGCAAAGTCCTCAGCACTCTCCACAGTCTGGATCCACGGCGGAAGAGGGGGGTCGCAGGGGGACACTCCCCTTTGCCTAACTTGGACCCTGGCTAATCTTGTCTGTAAGTATACTCCAGTTTATTTTCAGAAGCAGACAGGTTCCCTTTCTTGAAGTATTTTCAGTTGGACCCTACTTGATAAGGCCAGTTTAATTGGTTTACAACACATTTAAAAAAAAAAAAAGAAAAACTTCATAGGAGCCAGCAAGACTGTTCAGTGGGAAAACTTGCTGGGTAAACATGATTCAAGTTAGACACCCAGAAGACACAGTGGGAGAAGTGATTCCTGATCACTGTGCATGTCTCCTGCATCGTGTGTAGTAGTAGGGTAGTAGTAACAGCAGTAGTAAAGGTTTAGATGGCTTAGGAGGTAAAGGTGTTCACTATCCAAGCCTGCCAACCTGAGTTCAATCCCTGAAACCCCTGTGAAGGTAGGAGAAAACTAATTCCACAAACTTGTCCTTTGACTTCCATATGTATGCTGTGGTATGCATACTACATATATACCACACAACACACACAACACACACACACACACACACACACACACACACACACACACACACACA